CAAAAAAAATAAAAATAAAAAATAGAAATAAAAACATAGCTTCATTTAAAATTGTCAAAATGATGTTGCTTACAGAATCTTATTTTTAATGAAGTCATCCATCGCCTACTGTTACTGTGCCTGCTCTTCGGACTGTGGGGAATATTGTTACTGGTGACGATGCTCAGACACAGGTATATTAACACGCTGCACATGATTTGTCTATTACCATCTTTGTGTTGAAAATTAGAACCGCAAGCACCATGCCTATAGAATTTTATCTTAGGATGTAATTTATGTAATAATGTCATAATCTAGGGGATCAGTCAGAAGTTGAGAAAGTGTTAAGGGTTTTTCCCCCAACCATTAGTGAAGTTCGGCATAGAGACATTTACATTGATCCATTTGAATAATGTATTTTGTTGTTGGGCAAGCTTAGAGAAACTTACATGTGGAGTCATTGTTTCTGGAGTTCTCACTGTCTTATTCTTTTCTGGGATCTTTCATATAGTGAACAACCAACAGTCATGTACCATGCAATGCAGCCTCAGAATTTCACAGTAGTTGTACATTTCAGTACAATTGTCTAGGAGCAATTGATTTAAATTCTAAAAGTTGGGATTCTTATGCTCTAATCAATTTTGCCATTGAAGAATGAGATGATTGCTCATGGCCAAAAGTGTCAATTAAAATGTGTGGAATGAATTATTTTGCAGGAAAGCACCTCATCATATTTGTTATTAGTTTTATTTCTAAATGATGAGACAGTTACTTGTTTCATGGTGTTCAGTTTGTGATTGACAACCAAGTTCTTCCCTGTCTCCACCAACTTCTTACACAAAATCATAAGAAAAGCATAAAAAAGGAAGCTTGTTGGACGATCTCTAACATCACAGCTGGAAATAGAGCTCAAATACAGGTATGCGGCTGCCTGCATATTCTACTTTTTTCATGTAGCTCAATACTGCTGTCTGTTGACAGAGTGCACATGATCATAAATAACATTAGAATAGTGGTGGGATCTATTGGTTGAAAAGGAAGAATCATATATTTGATGAATTTCTTTGGAACAGGCTGTTATTGAGGCTAATATCATTCTTCCTTTGGTGCACCTTCTTCAACATGCCGAATTTGACATCAAGAAAGAAGCTGCATGGGCTATCTCGAATGCCACTTCTGGTGGATCTCATGAGCAGATTAGGTATAGCGTTGTCTCCATTATCTTGTGAAGTGTTCCACTCAACTGTAGACTGCAGTGATGCATATTCATAAATTTTGCAGTATCTATAGCTCTTCGCTATGGTTGCTTCCAGCATTTTCTTCTAATTTTTTGGCTCTGCCCACCTTTTTCTGTTAGCTTTAGTCAAAGCATTGAGCTAGGATCTTGGTAGCTCGGACGGTTCTTCTACTTCTTAGGATCCTATGTTAAATCATCTGATAGCGCACACCCACTAACACACACACACCGAGAGAGAGAAAATCTAAGTGATAAAAGTAACTGAAGTGACCCAATATTCCACTATAAAGTTAACAATTTATAAGAACGCAGAAATGCCCTTACACTTCAGGGACATATTAGGAAACTGAAACAAGGCCTGCTTCTAACAGTTTCCGAAGAGAGAAAAGTGAATTTCATCTCGCACATTAAGACCTTGTTTGATTCCCATTCTTTTCAAACTCTTTTTTCTACATGGTCATTTTCAACGACATATTCACGCTAAAATATTCTGCACGTGAACTCAGAACTTTTCCCTTACTTTTTAACACCACACATTCTCCTAAAACACTATCCAAAACTTTAAAAAAGAATGGGCACTAAATAATGGCTAATACACACTGAGACATAAATGACCGGACATGCAGAGACCATATGCTGTCAGAATTCCCAAGAAGGCCTGAGACATCTCATAACATTTTCCCCATTTCCCTGGGATACGAT